GGGTTCCCGAACAACAATCCAACTTTATTTTAACTTTCTCTCCTCCCAGCTTCCCTTTTCAAATGCACACACGCTTTTACTTTCCAGGGGAATCGAAATGCTTTATTAACTGCTGAGATTACAAACCTCATTTGGAATTGGGGTTTTTAGCCAGAGTATACTTTTGGTCCTTGGAAAATTGCCCACATGTGTAACTTGTTTTTGCTTCTCTTCAGACAAGGAATTCCCCCCCCCCGCTTCCTCCCTCCCTCCTCACCACTTACGGATTTTTAACAGACGGCAGCATTCAAACTGCGAGCTAGCACAGGAAATGGCAAAGGTAGATCCTTCAACTTTTAGGCTACAGAAACTTATTTCACTTTTTTTATTATTATTATTAAAGGTTTTACTCTTCAGGAGGGATTTTTTTTGTTACGCTTTCGTGTGTTTCTAAGGGTCCGTGACTGAAGTTTCTTATGTTTCTTTCATAACCTCTTAGACCTGCCTAAATGTATCATTCATAAATTATGTTTGCTTTATGCTGAGGTTTTACTTCTGTTTCCTGGCTCTTAAAGAAAGAAAAAAAAAAAAAAAAGTTATTCGGTGGTTGCTGTTGTGATTATCACTATTATTGTTATTAATATAATTGCGGAATGTTTTCTATCGCCTAAAATAAAGGCTTTGAAGGCTGAGTTATCTCAGAATCTGGTCTCCAGACTCTCCATAACCATGAAGTTCACTCTCAGCTTTTATCCTCTCTTAGCTTATCCTTATCGCCTTCCAAACCTAAACTGAAGAAGTAAATATGCTTTTTGGTGTAAAAATCCTGGGGAACCTCCCTGGTCCTGCCCTGTCCGTGCACCAGGAAGGGGGAGAAGCTCTGCATCCCCAAGTTTCCTCCACTTTCTCCGTATCAGTGATAAAGAGGCAAAAAATCAGCTGGAAGAAGGTGCCAGTTCTAATAAATGATAACAACCTTCTTCTAAAAAGTGGTTAAATATGTTTCCTGTAAGAAATGGCTCATCTGCTCTCTTTTTTCTTCCTTATGCCAAAACTTATAAATCAGTACAAGGTGGCAATTGCAGAGATTTAAAATCTGCATATTTTTGAAAATATTTTATATTGGGTTGTTTTTAGCTGAGAAATGCCAACCCAAAGAGCTGTTTGTTAAGGATGGATTTTGGCAGTTGTGTATTTCAAAGCACTATTTGGAAATGACTCCTTCTCTCCACAAACAATAAAGATTATTTATAAACAGTATTTGAGTTCAGAAGCCTCTGGCTTTCCATTGCAAGTTGACAATACTCCGAATTTTTCCTCAAAGACAAATACACTTGGTGATGATTTTCCCAGCAGGAAAAAGTTTCCAATTCTGACTTCTTTTTTTTTTTTTTTTAATAACTATTTCCAGTTCCACTTCCTTTTACCAACTCACAACAATCACATATCTAAAATTAATCTAGTTTGCAAACAGAGCAAAACTCGCACATCCTGCCTCCTCTCTCCCAAAGATTCATCCTTTTAGACTCTGCTCTGAGGACACTTTCTCCTTAACTTTTCCTTCTCCAATATTTTTTTTTGCAAGCAGAAGAGCTTTTCATGTAATTTCTGAGGGGTTTTATTTGGGGCTTTAAAATATAAGTGCCTATATAGTGTCATCCGGAGCAGGCAGCACCGCACGACATGGTCTCTCCAAGCAGGCAGACCTGGGATGAAGCTGTAGTTTGCCTTAAGTCCCTCTCAAAAAAAAAAGGCTACAAAGAGATGAGCTATGAGGATATATATAAAAAATAAACTACTGAACAAACGAAAACCTCCAGAGGAGCAAAAGCAAATGGATTTTGCAGATCTTCTTGTGAGGTTTCCATTCACTAGGGATCTGAAAACCCTTGGTTTCTTGCCTCACAGCCACACTCCTAAGAGTCTGCTTGGTTTAAATTTATATACTACAGAAAATTATATACTCACATGCTGACATAGTTCATCATTATTTATAGGAGGTGCACCAGGATTTTTTCCAAGAATATATTTATTACAGGTAAGACATGGCCAATCTATCTAGCAAACAGAGAACAGGTGTTTTGCTTCAATTAACATTCAATAATTTCATCTACACTTATTCAACACCCTGCTACCAACACGGCTGTTTATCCATCAGTTGTATAAACACATTTCCATGCGCCAAGCGAGTTTAATCTCCACAACACACTTAAATCAGCCTTTTCCTTTCCCAAGCTCTCATAACATTTGCAGAGTCCCTCCGAATCTCTGGTGAAATAGGCTTGATTTTTAAAAATCATTTCTGAAAGGTAATAAAGCCGAGAAATATGACAATGTGAGCAACCAGCTCGTTTTTCATGCCTGATGACACAAGGTTGGTTTTTTTTTTTCCTTTCAAAAAGTCTTCAACTCTGAAGGAAGTTAGAAGAAGGGTTGGGAAAAGGGAGAGAGAAATGTGAAAAGTTGGAAAAAACAGGAATTCTCCCCCCTCCCCGTTTCACACAACCCCCTGTTCGCGTAAGATGCGCTGGGGAGACCAGCAATCCTGCCCCTCGCTGCTCCCTGGAAAGGGATTTATTTGCGGTTTAAACGCAAAAGTGGAGTTACTTTGGATTAACCCCCCCTGGAAAGGAGAGTTTGCAGAGTGGGGAGTACTCACCTGGTTCCATTTGCCCATGGCTGGCTGGGCAAGCTCTTAGAAGCGGGGGGCTGGAGAGAGTTCCCCAACCCCTCCTCAAACCTCACCTTGGCTGGAGTCCGCAGACTGAATCTGCTTCTCCAGCCCAGGGAGAATTTTGAGCTGGTTGAGGGGCTCTTGCTACCCTGATGGCTGCAAAAATTAAAAATAAATCTGATCTCCTGCATTAAGCTCCAGCTCTCCTCACCCATCATCCCGACCTCCTCCATTTATTTAATATTTTTTTTAAATGAAAATGGACAGCTTCCTAATTGTGCCTCATTTAGAGGAGCTCTGGTCCTGGACATGGGGAATCGTGTCCTTCCATCAGGCTGCAGGGCAGATGCTCATGGAAAAGCACCGCTTTATAGGAATAAGGGAAAATCTAAAGCTTTAGGTGTAGGTTTTTGAGCGCTTTCATAATCTTCCAGTATCAGTAAAACACTTCTGATAGCGATCTCCCACATCCTTTTTGTGTGGGCACGGACATATGGACACACACTGGTATAGAGAGAAATGCGGAATCTATTTTTTCCTTCATTTCAGGCGGCTATTAGCACCCTTCAATGTTATTATTAACCTGTTAATATAGACTTCCATCCCTATCCACTTCAGGAAGGATTCGCGATGATTTATCATTCCTAGAAATCTCTTTGCCCTTCACTTTAAATATCCTTCAGCGTTGGGGTGAGAAGGAGAAGGGCGGGAGGGGTAATAGATTAAAAGAGGCAAATTGATCCAGACTGTTACAGCTGAAGTCCAGAGAAACACTTTTTTCGTAATCATAGAGAGCACCTTTTCCTTCACCAACATTTACGATGCCATCGGATCAGCTCGCAATAAATGGATTTATCATCATAACGGGGTAAAACTGACCCCGTTACCCCGCATCACTGGGGCCGGGAGCAGCAGCGAGTTCTCCCCCCGTGTCAATCATTCGCTTCGGTGGAAAGAGAAAAAAAATATCCCGAAATCATCAATTTTTTTTTTTTTTTTTTCGAAAACACACGGGAAATGCACGCGGGGGGGTGTTGCGTGACACGCACACACACCATGAGCACATATATGTGAGGTGTGAGGGGGGGGACAGTGACTGGAAACGCGAGGGATTCCTTTTTTTTTTTTTTTTTTGCCCCTTTTCTTTGCCACAGGCAATAAATTCAAGGCTATAAAAATCAAAGAAAGCTAATGTAAGTTTTATTAAACTATTTAAGCATCACAAGTTGAAGGCATTCTGTAACAAAGCCGGATCAGTGGCGCACTGTATTTTACTAGCCTTGTAAAGTTAAATGAAGGCTTCTGATTTCAGCAGTGTGGGGAACTCTTTGAGCCCAAGCAAAGCAACCCTGAGATGATGCCGCGAAATATGTTCATATATAAAGGTATTTTTAAGGTATTTATATATATATATATATAAAAGGATGAAGTCTAAGTCAAGCTTTGGATGTACACAGGGTTTGCAGCTCGGCAGCTTGCTGGTCAAAGTTGTAATGCCACGTCCATGCCAGTGACATTTTAAATTTCATATTTACCCACTTTATTTTACCATATTAACAATCCTTTTTTCCCATCCCAGCTGGTTAATTATTTATAACACCCTCCCCAAGCCTAGATCCATCTTTTTCTTCACAAAAA